CTTCTGCCACTAACTTTGTTCCCTTTTAGCTGCTCCAGGATCCCTTTGCATGCTAATTTCTATTGGGTTTGTTATTTTGAAAGATGATCAATAGTCTGGAAAGTAAGCCTTGTGAGGAATGACTGAAGGGAATGGGTATGTTTCTCACAGAGCACAAAAGGTTGAGAGGTGACAGAATCATAGAATCATAGAATCAAAGAGTTGGAAGAGACCTCATGGGCCATCCAGTCCAACTCCCTGCCAAGAAGCAGGAATATTGCATCAAATCACCCCTGACAGATGGCCATCCAGCCTCTGTTTAAAAGCTTCCAAAGAAGGAGCCTCCACCACACTCCGGGGCAGAGAGTTCCACTGCTGAATGGCTCTCACAGTCAGGAAGTTCTTCCTAATAGCCAGCTTTAAATATCTACATAGAAAGCATGAAGAAAATAAACCTTTTTCTGTTGCTGAATATAAGCCAGTGGATTCTAATGACAGGAAAAGATTCCACCTAAATATTAGGAAGAACTCTTTTACTGTAAAAGGAGACCCAATTGTCTTGGGGACTTGGGGACTCTCCTTTAAATAGATCCTGGTTGAACACCTTTTAAAGGGTGCTGTATTTGTGGATTCCTGCATGGCAGTTGGACTTGAAAGTCCCTATAGTCCCTTCCAACTCCAAGATTTTCCAATTCTGTATGTACCATGTCCATATCACTTAGGGATGGAGGCAATTTATAAAGGTAAACAACAACAACAAAGACACCAAGTCCCAAAGGTCTCATCTACTCTGTGACATGCAATATGCACCAGTCCTGCCCCTTTTTTGCAATCGTATCCCATCAGAAACCTCGAACCCTGCCAGTTTCAGTACCTCGGAGGACACCCCCAAGACTAAAGCTCTGCTTCAAGGGACTTCTCAAAGTGTTGTGTTCGATCTGACAGATGAGCTGCGACTTTGCATCCTCTTTCGCGAGCTGCACCTCCACGGAGCTCCAAACCTCATAGGAGATGCTCTCTCCTTCTGGGCGAACAGTGGTCCGCAAGGGCTGGATGGGCCTCGCGTCCTTCAACCAGGTGACTGTAATGTCTCGGGGAGAGAACCGGTCGGAGGTACAATTGAAAGTCACTGAGGCCCCCGCCTCCACTCGGCTGATGGGTGCTTGGATAAGTGGCTGAGAAGGTGTAGCTGCAAGAAGAAAGGAGAGAGAAGTCACACATCAATATAATGTTCCCAACTGGGTCAAGCCTAGAAACCAGTCCCACCCATCCTCTCTCACCATCTCACCAAAGGCTCATGGATGGCACACTGTTGGCACTGGCACACCAGCTCCAAGGCTTGTGTAGGTCTTCAAGAAGGTGTTGGCATTGGCTTCAAGGACTGTGCACGTTATGGAATAAGGAGCATTGTCCCTGTGCTGGGTTGCCAATGGTAGACTGAATTCATGTTTCTCAGACTTGCAGGTTTCACATTGCAGGCCTCTGGTCTGTCAGACCTAAGGGTATCGGGTACCTCAGTCATGGGACACATGGCTTTCCAGTAAATTACAGGCCTCTCAGCCCATGTCTCTATTGTCACTGGTCAGTTCTTAGGTCATAGAATCATAGAATCAAAGAGTTGGAAGAGACCTCATGGGCCATCCAGTCCAACCCCCTGCCAAGAAGCAGGAATATTGCATTCAAATCACCCCTGACAGATGGCCATCCAGCCTCTGTTTAAAAGCTTCCAAAGAAGGAGCCTCCACCACACTCCGGGGCAGAGAGTTCATGACAAAAGTTAGATTGTGTTTGTGGATGTGTTTATGACAACTCTGCTGCATACAAGCCCAGGAAATCCTACATCCAGCCAAGCTGGTTCCCATATGAGTTGATTCTCCTTTCTGCAGGGGATATCTGGACTTCCAGATATTGTTGCAGTTACAGGATGGACGGGAGCTTTTTTTAATGTCAGGAGCAACTTGAGAAACTGCAAGTCACTTCTGGTGTGAAAGAATTGGCCATCTGCAAGGACGTGGCCCAGGGGACGCCTGGATGTTTGATGTTTTACCATCCCTGTGGGTGGCTTCTCTCATGTCCCAACATGGGAAGATAGAGCTGATGGATGAGAGCTCACCCCGCTCTCTGGATTCGAACCGTCAACCTGTTGGTCAGCAGATCCGTTGGCACAATTTGCCATCAGAGGCTCCAAGGATGGGAGCTGATGTTCAACAACATTGTTTTTCCCCCACTGAACAAGACAGACTCCACCCTCAATCCCAAGATGCTGTATATACTCGAGTATAAGCCGACCCGAATATAAGCCGAGGCACCTAATTTTACCACAAAAAACTGGGAAAATGTATAAGCCGAGGGTGAGAAATGCAGCAGCTACTGGTAAGTTTCAAAACAGAAATAGATACCAATAAAATTACATTAACTGAGGCATCAGTAGAGTAAATATTCAAAAATATTTACATGAAATTGTAATTTAAGATAAAGCTGTCCAACTCTGATTAAACCATTATTCTAACCTTCTTCAATGTAAATGTGCATACATATCCAGCTTGGGAGTGATCCTGGACTCATCGCTGAGCCTGGAACCCCAGGTCTCGGCGGTGGCCGGGAGAGCTTTTGCACAACTAAAACTTGTGCGCCAGCTGCGCCCGTACCTTGGGAAGTCGGACTTGGCCACGGTGGTCCACGCTCTTGTTACATCCCGATTGGATTACTGCAACGCACTCTACGTGGGGTTGCCTTTGAAGACTGCTCGGAAACTCCAACTGGTCCAGCGAGAGGCAGCCAGATTGCTCACTGGAGCGACATACAGGGAGCACACCACCCCCCTGTTGTGTCAGCTCCACTGGCTGCCGATCCAATTCCGAGCACAATTCAAAGTGCTGGTTTTGACCTACAAAACCCTAAACGGTTCCGGCCCAGTGTATCTATCCGAACGGATCTCCCTCTACGTCCCACCTCGGAACCTAAGATCCTCTGGGGAGGCCCTGCTCTCGACCCCGCCTCTATCACAAGTGAGATTGGGGACGAGGAGCAGGGCCTTCTCGGTGGTGGCCCCCCACCTGTGGAACTCACTCCCCGGGGAGATTAGATCAGCGACTTCCCTTTTTTCATTCAGAAGAACTCACTCCCTGGGGAGATTAGATCGGCAACGTCCCTTCTTTCATTTAGGAAGAGGTTGAAGACCTGGATGTGGGACCAGGCATTTGGACATTCTGGCAGCTAAAGAAAGACTTGATGACGAGCTGGAACTGGACAAGACGGAATGGATTTACGGAACTCCGAACGCTGAGCTCAGGATTAGCCTACTACTGTGTTTATGGTGTTGTTGTGTATTGATGATTTAATTTTTAATTTGTAATTGCTTAATTGCTTTTATATATGTATGTATATGTGACAAGGCATCGAATTGTGCCTTTCTCTGTAAGCCGCCCTGAGTCCCCCCTTGGGGGTGAGAAGGGCGGGGTAAAAGTGACGGAAATAAATAATAAATAAATAGGCTTATACTCGAGTATATACAGTACTTTCCCCATAGAGAACTGAGAATGACTGGCATCAAATCTCTTAAAAGAGGCTGACCTAGGCCATCCTGAACCCACTGTTATTTATGAGAATGGACCATGGCAAGGTCCAGACACTTTTCCACAAGGATTGTAGGAAAGGCAAGATCCAGCTTGGAAGTTGTGGAAGAAATTTAGAAGACATCAAGACCTACATTTTTGAGATCCATGGCCTGGAATATTGGCAGAGAGTGAAATTACGTGGATGTGTGAACAAAGATATATGCTGCTTGCCACTATGTATGCCGCAATCCTCTTTTAGAAGCGACAGTATCTGCTCACATGGGAACACAATTGCTGGAATGCTGTGGGTGCCATGTTTAAGTTATTCTGCTGAAGCATTGCACATTTTGCTTTAATGTGCCTCACGTCTGTTTCAGTTCAAGACCAGAGAAGCAGAGCTGTGCACACAATGCCCTTTGCACATGCAGATCCACATTAATTTAGGCATTTCCTTGCACATTTGCAGAGTATTTGACTGAGTGTTAAGTGGCATGGCTGTTTGTGCGCTGAGTTGTGCAGTGCTGCCATTCAATGCGGGATGTGTGTAGCACAATAAAAGTGCAACTCCACATATCGAGATTTAATTTATACGACCTCAATGTAGGATCTTGGCTCCTGAATGTCAAGCTCAATACAGATTCTGGGGAGCAAGCAGGAACTCAATAGGGTCCCGGCCCAAGGCTGTCATTAATCCAAGAGTTCCAAATTACATTCTGGAGAGCCATGAAATCTCCAAGTAAGTGAACTGATTTCCCCCAGTTTCATTAAGAAGTCAGACCAGGTTTTTTTCTTCTTCCGGGAGGGAGTTAGATGATACAGCAGGATCCGAAAGGCAGTTTTATATCAAGAGTAACTGCGAAAGAGCTTCCTGGTGTGAAAAGGGAATATGGGAGAAGACTTGAAAAGGGAGAAAATGTCAAAGAAAAGGAGAAAAAAAAATCGAAGATGCGTTGTGGAAAGGATGGGAGAGAAACTAAAGTAGAAACGCTGTCTAGTCTGGAAATATAGGTTTAGATCCTACACTCAGATTGTGTCGCATACATCTCTGCATGTCGGGACATTTGAATAATAGTTGCGTGCCCCACATGGGCACCCACCCTTGGTTTTGCACACTCATTGGAGAGAAGGAAGCACACACAACGTAAACATTGAACTATTGATTCCCACTCTCATTTCAATGTCTTCTGCAAGTTGTTGTGTTGTCAAAGGCTTTCATGGCTGGAATCACTGGGTTGCTGTGAGTTTTCCGGGCTGTATGGCCATGTTCCAGAAGCATTCTCTCCTGACGTTTCACCCACATCTATGACAGGCATCCTCAGAGGTTGAGGGGTCAAGTTGATTAGAGGAAACTGAAAAGGATACTCTATGATGTTGGGAATGAGTGCACTTTGTGAATTATCCATGCATTAGAAAGTAAAGGAGCCCTCTGAGTCCATGTCTTGAGGGAATGGGTGAAAAGGGGGAGGCTTAAGAATAACCTCACATGGGAACTCTTTCACATATTGAACTCAAATATTAGCTCATCTAGGTTGCTGTGAGATTTTTTGGGCTGTATGTCCATGTTCCAGTAGCATTCTTTCCTCAAGTTTTGCCTGCATCTGTGGCAAGCATCCTCAGAGGTTTATTCAGAAGTTTGTCGGAATGAGGCAAGTTTTTTTTTGTTGTGTCAGGAGCGACTTGAGAAACTGCAAGTCGCTTCTGGTGTGAGAGAATTGGCCGTCTGCAAGGACGTTGCCCAGGGGACGCCCGGATGATTTGATGTTTTTATCATTCTTGTGGGAACCCCAGAGAGACCTCCTTTAGAAGAATGGGAAAAATATATTATAGATATGCTGATAGTGGACAAAATAACTGTATTATTAAGAGGAGAACTATTAAATAATTTTGTTAAAGAATGGCAACCAAGGATTCAACACCTTAATGTAAAATTAAACTAAAAATGTATATAGAGGATCCTATAAGATTGTAGACAAGGAGGGAGTGGATGTAAAGTAAGAGTCTATGGACTGCATGGTATCTGGTAGACTCCTGCAGAGGTGAGAGGGTCTCTCTTGTCCTTTGCTGAACATAGCATTTGTTGGATTTTCTTAGTGGGCCTGTAGATAGTTTGTAGGTTGTGTTTCTTAATCAGCTTCCCTGTGCGGTCAGTGGTTCCCTTGATATAAGTTGTTACAAATCAAAAATACAAACAATTTCTCGATGTATGCATTTCAAATTCCCAAATCACTTGTGTGTGTTTAAGCTTAAATTATGTTTAAGCTTTGATGAGAATGTTGGGAATTCTTCTTCTTTTTGATTTAGGTATTTTGTGGAGGAAGTGCTGGGTAATAAATAGAGTTGGGTATTGACCTGCTTAAATGTATTTACAGCTTTGTATTGACTTTTTCTTTTTAAAACGCAATTTGAATGTCAGGATTGTACGTCGCGGACAGCTTCCACTTACCAACCTTTCAAATGGAAGAACGGACGCTTGGTAACCATTTCTTTCCAAATGCCCTGCTGCGTGCGAAGTTATGCATTGATTGTGGCGCACAACCTTTACCTCGAACGGTTTCATTGAATACGCAACCCGAAATAGTGATACAGCAATTTGAAAGGAAAGCGATGGAAAACTCCCTCTGAATATCCCATG